CATCCAATGGTAGACCATGTATTACAATCTACCATTAACATATCTCTTTTGTTAGCCTTATACATCTTTTCCTGAAACAAGCAAAATCCAAACCTAGTTGTTCCTGGTAACGCTTCAGTTGTTTATAGTAAGAACTGGAAGTAAAAAAAAAAAAAAGTGTCAGAGAAGTTTTGACTTTAGCTTCTAGGCAATAGACAGTAGAAATGTCAGGTCTTATACAACCTTGTTGTGTCAGGAATACTCACAGTCACTAAAACATAGAGAAACTAAATACCATTAGAAAGCAAAAATAAATTTTAAAAAGGCATAAAATATCTAATAACTTGTGTGAAGTGGGGTGTCTTCTGAGATTCTGGCCTGCAGCCTTCCTGGGATCTAAGTGCAAAAAACAACTTATCTGGTTAATCTTAGCAAGTTTCAGTGGTGGGCCTGATTTGACTGGAGGGAAGATGGAAATGCAAGTAAAACAGACGTCTGCGTTCATTGGGTTACACTGATGCTTAGGATGGCTCAGCTGCTATTCAGTATGGGAACTAAGATTTCTATTTATTTAGCTTCAGTAGTTGCATTTTTGGCTGGTTGGGTTTGGGATTTGGGGTTTTTTGGGTTTGGGTTTTTTGATTGGTTTGGTTTGGGGGTTTTGGTTTTGTTTGTTTTTGGGGTTTTTGGTTTGTTGGTGGTTTTGGTTTTTTTGTTTTTTAAGTGAACTCTGCTTACCGCTGTTATCACTCTGCCTCTGAGCATTTTCCTTCCTTGGCAGGAAACACCAGTCTGTCATGACCTGAAAGTTTCTTATCTTTTCTTGACATGTTTGAGAATCACAGACTTCTGTCATACCATCACTTTCTCTCCTGGACACAATGGCATGTGGCAGCTCACTCTGAGAACAAGTCCAGTGTTAAATCTCCATTAATAAGTACTCACCTTGCACCTAATGCCAAAATAATGGCTTGTCCAACAGGAGATCATGATAACTGCTGCTCAGGACCTCTCTCCCTTGCTTGTGGGCATTGAAACTTTTTCAGATCAGGTTATAAATCAACTTGGTTATGTGCTGTCCTTGGAAACAGATGTGTATCCACATAATTAAGAGTAGTTTCATATCTCAGCAAAAAAAAATTGCTTTTTTTTTTGAGGAATGAGGTTGAACTAGGACTTGTCCAAATAATCTCTTTAACAGCCAAAGTATGTGTTTGACCATCTGTATTTTTCAAATAGGAAAGTGAAAGCTCATAAATCAACAGTGGTTAATTAAGGAAAAATACCAAAATTCTTAGTCAAACATGAAGATTGTTGTGATTGTCAGTAGAAAGTAGTTTGTAAAAAGGGCTTAAGGCTAAGGCTTAGTTAGCCTTTTTAAAATTTTTATTGTGGTTCAGTGATGTTAGAATAATAGCGTAATTAAAATGAATGTAATTACATATTTGGTTTTTGGAAAACAAGCAACGATATGATGTGGGTTCATGGATATTCTATAGGTTTGTCCAGTCACAGAGGAGATTAGGTCACAAACTGTGTGGAAGACCTAATGCTACAAAATTTTAACAAAACTGTGAGTTCAAAAATGAAAATGAACATTGAGGACTGAGATAATTTGCCTTTTAGTTTTTCCTTATAAAAACAAAGGTTTATTTGTCTTTTAAATAGGCTGGTAAAACTGAATTGGCATCCTACAGTGAATGCAGAATAGGTAGTTAGGAATAATAAGCTACTAATAGAAGACAGTCTATCAAAGGGTTAATCTTCAAAATCTGCTGTGAATACAAACCTGAACCAGGAGCAATAGGAGTGGGCAGGTAGTTGCATTTGTTAGAAGATATTTTTGGTGATCATCCAGTAGGAAAAATAGTTGCAAATACTCAGAGGACCAAATCAGAGCTCTCACCTCCACGCAAGCAGCAGCTCCATGTTGGGTCTGTTACTTGCAGAAGGTCCTGCTTAGTCAGGTTGTTCACAGACTTTTTTTTCTCAGATTACTCACCAATTGAGGATGGGCCCTTTGCATAAATGAGCACAATCTGGTATGAAAATATACTTTGGTTCAGTTGAGTCACAGTTCAGAAGTATTCCTGAGCCTTAACACCTGATAAAAAATAATGGGTGAATCCAGTTTGAAATATTCTCAGTTTTTAGGAACAGGAGATCTTTGAAATTATATTAGTTTATGTTGCAAGAATGGATGATTCCTAGAATTCTTGCTTTTCCCTGCAGTACAGAATCTACATAAAAACTATATCATTAATATATATGTAAAAGAAGCTTGATGTATGAGGTACAGGCTCAGTGTATGTGAGGACACTCAGCTCCAGTAATCCCACTTCACAGAGTATTCCCATGGAATTAGAGGGTTTATGCACCATTTAAATGATTTGGAGACTGCCAAAATTTCTAATGTAAGTTTTGTTTTTCCCTTTTTTCCGTCGGTAAATTAATGCTCTTTATTTGTTACTTCAGCAAATAATTTTTTATGGTAGCTTTTCTGGTCTATATCCTGCTGGTATATAGTTTAACAAAATGCTTTTTAAACAGTATATTTAATTCCTCATTCATGTCTCTGGGAATAAATTCTTACTGTATTATAACTTATTCAACATATTTTATTTTCTGTGGTTGAGAACCTCTGCAAACTTTCCTTTCAGAAATTACCACCTCTTATTTCCTTTCTGTGTCTCCCCAGCTGTTATTTGCTGCTGGTATCCACAGCTGGTCATGTCCTGTTACAGTGGCTTAAATACTTAAAGAAATTCCTTAACAATATTTCTAGTTTTCACATCTAGAGCTCCAGGATGAAAATAAAATTTTCACACCTGACTGCTGATTTTAGATGTTTTCCATGATGCTGTGTCAATGAGCTGGTATTTAAGATTACTTCAACAGTTTTTAGTGATCCTGAATGGTAGCATTTATGGTGGAAAATGTGATGGTATTTCAGAAGGAACAAGACTGTACATTTCTGTGTAGAAGCCACGTCTTCCTTGAAAGTAATTACTTTGCTTTTTGCAAAGTTAAATATGAAGTGTTTTGCAAAACTGTTTAATGGATGCCTTGGTTTAGAGACAAATTTTAGGAGAAAATGCTCTGGAATTAGCCTTTCCTCTAAAGAGAAGGGAGATTTCCAGTGAGAGAAATGAATACCAGTGGGTGAAAGAGAAAAAAACCCTAATTGTTTATTAACCGAAAAAAGGGTGCACGCAGGTGCAGAAAAGGATTGAAAATGCTTGATATTGAAAATTCAAAACCTTAACCCCCACCAGGCCTGTGTGGCCAGGGGGTGAGGATGGCAGCTGCCCCATTTGTCTCAGGGAAGGGAAGGCACAGAGTTCACGAAGCCACTCGGGCAGAATAGATGGGAACCTTTCTGGTGTTGGGCTTCTCACAGCAGGCAAAGCTGGTGGGTTTTGGTGTCCTTTCTTTTGCTGGCTTGGTCTTTCCTGGGGCCCAGACTGTCCAGTGCAGCTCCCACAGGCTCCTGAGAGTGGAGGGGAAAAAACCAAAAAACAATCTGAAACAGCTCAAGGAAACAAAACAACAAACAAACAAACAAAAACCCCAAACAAACCTGAAGGATCTCTGCTGGAGTCCAGAGAAAAAGGAAGTAGGTGGGGAAAGAAAAAAAAGCAGCTTCTTGCCTAAGCAAGCAAAAAGTAATCCAACAGAACAGTGTAGCATCCCAGTCCATGGTGCACAGCACATGCTGTAAAGAGAGTTCTGAGCAGAGCCCATGCCTGGGGTTCCCAGGCTGGTTCATATTAAATCTACAGCAGCCATTTCTGGGCATAAGGCAAATGACTAGGGAATAGAGTATCACCACAAAATCACCCCAGGACAATGGAGTTGGTTGTAAATTGTTTTTAGATCCAGTTCTCGACAGTGAAATTGTTAATGTTAATGAATGAACATTTTTCTGGGAAATTTTTTTCATTACAAGTGGGTCTTGCTTATCCCTGTTCAGCAGTGGTACAATTAGAAGTGCTGCTGTGCTGTATTGTATTGCATTTGTACAATCTTTTTATAATCCAGAGCCCCAGCCCCTTACACATCAGACTCCCTCCATGGAAAGAACCCATGGTCACAAGAATTTTGCACTTTTCCTACAGAGCTGAACAATAAAGAATTTTTTTTCCCTGCAATGACCATGAAGCTGTTTATGTTTGCAAATTGAAATACTTTCATTTCTGTCCAAAATGATCTTTTTTCAATATCTATAAAGGATGGGAAATAATGAAGGGTTTCCCCAGATAAGTACATGTAAAAAAAATCATATTTGTCTGCATTTTGATTTTTTTCTGGTATAGGGTGAGTTCCTCAAGACAGGAGAATGGTTAATGACTAAGAGCCTTCAATTTATGGGATATAAGCTTTAGTCCAATGATGCAACAATATGTGATCCTCATTTGTGCTGTCATATAAGTCACAGACTTTCCAAATTGCTTCTGAAAGATTTTAACACTCTGTTAAGAAGTCACCATAATTGCTTACTGAAAAGGACCACACAGATGTTTCAGAATTGTGGACTATAAAGGAGTAAACCACCCAGATTTCTTAGAATCAGATCTGAATCAAAGTTTAGATACCAGGAAAAAATACACCTTAACATTAGGTGTTTTTTAGGCAGGCCTGACATTTGTCATGTAGCTCCTCACAGAGCTCTCAAGGTACTACTTAAGGACAGAAAGGTATTTTACAGACAGGTAATGTAATCCCATGTTAATTTTTAAAGAATAAAGAGAGATTAGTGGATTGTAGAAGCACAGGACAAAACACAACCAAAAATAAATGTGTTCAGGCCAGTTTAAGTGCTACAGAGTTGATACAATTTAGTGCTACACTGAAATTAGTATTTATGAGAAATTATATTTTCTCATTAATTCACTCAATCTGCTGCATCATACAGAATGGTTTCAGGAATGGTTAGAAGGCTTACCTCAGACAGTAACTTTGAAAAGTTTGTTTGTATTCGTTATATTTCAGATTTTAACACCTTTGTCTGTCTTTTTTAGTCTGTTCACAGTTTTCCAGGGGAGTTTATGCCATCTTTGGATTCTATGACCAGATGTCAATGAACACCCTGACATCATTCTGTGGAGCCCTTCACACGTCCTTCATCACACCGAGCTTCCCAACAGATGCAGATGTGCAGTTCGTCATCCAGATGCGGCCAGCATTAAAAGGAGCCATCTTGAGTCTCTTGACTTACTATAAGTGGGAAAAGTTTGTGTACCTCTATGACACAGAACGGGGTAAGCATTATCATTTGAACTGATTTTCTGTTTCATAGCTTGCTCTAAGTACTACCAGCATCAGCATGTGCAGCCCAGTTTTCTTCTGGTTCTAGACATTCTAATGGTCCTAGAAAACAAGTTTGTTCTGAAAAAAACAAAATGAATGGATAAGTAACTAGGAGGCATCTTCATGTTACTGATAATTTTTAAAGAGATTGTCTGAGAATAGTGTTAGCAGTGTATTAAATTTGGCATGCCTGGTTTCCACGGAACTGCAGACTCCACACTTGTCAGGGTGTTTGAGTCCTTGCAAAATAAATAAGGTCAATACTGTGAAATAGGCTGATAAGCAGGACCTTCCACTGTGCATGACATGGCAAATCCCACACCACTTTACATAAATGCACATTTTTCCTGTCACTGGACAAAGGTAATCCATGCTAAGGTATGCTCTAGAGGTGTCTAAGCATTAATAACGGTCTAAGGAAATAGAGTGGAGTCTCTGGAGTCAAAAAGGTGGGGAAAGAATAAAAGCTTCTTGCCTAAGCAAGCAAAAACTAATCCAGCAACAGGAACAATGTAACTCGGCTGTGCTGGGCTGGAGAAAAGATGCTCTAGATGTCTCACATTCCAGAGACAAATTGAGATACATGCCAAGAATGACCAGAGTTATGTTTAATGAAGTGGAAACATATTAAAAACAGTGTTTTCCCACTTAAGCCAATTGTTAACTACTAATAAGCAGAAAATGTAGGAAATACTATCAAAAAGAGATCTAGACATCAGAAACCATTTTCTGTGAGGAATCTTTCAGCTGCCACTTACTCTGAGTGTATTGAATTTGCTGAATTTGCTATGTTACAGATTTCACCTGGGTAGCATTTTTTGTATCAAATAGATGTGCCACCACCCTTCTTACCAGCTCTATGATTTGAGACTTCAAAAAATTTTTCAGATCAAAGGAATCTCAATAGAGACAAAGAAGCTTAGATTCTCTTCCTGGTTCCCATGACAAAATTTCCTTAGGCTACTGCATATTTTTAAGGATCAAGTGTTCAGTGGGTGTGCTTTTCACACTGAAGAACAGTAGCATCACCTAACTAAGAACTCAACTAAAACTTAAAGAATCATATATTGAAAGAAAGTAATTTTCAGTCTGATTTAGATGAATGCTGAGAGTTTCAAATTTTCTGAGTGATTTGGAGGTGTTAAATATTTCTAGCACTGAAAAACACTAGCTGTGAGATTAAATAGGAAAATATGGAGAAGTTAAAATTTCTTAAATCTTGTAAAATCACTACATCTGTTTTTCTGGCTTAATCCACTTTTAAATGAAAGTTCCTGTGAATAAGTCGTCTGTCTGAGTAAGAAAGGCTTATTTGATGTGACCAAATACAATAAACTTACAGTGTGTGATGAAGTAAAATGCCATTTGTTCCAGGATGATGACACTCTCCATGATTAAGGCTAATAAAGTTTTCTTTGGAAAGAGCTTCACCAGTCATTCAAGAAACTTGGCACTTTGGAAAAATCATCCAAAACAATAAGAGTTTCACTGGAACTCATCTAGATGATATGACTAATTAAGATAATAATGGGAGTCAGGAGGAAGGGAAACTTGCAGCCTCAAACTTGCATTTATTTGCAGTTCTCAGTGTTAGGTTATTATGATGGCTAATCACTTTGGAACACTACTCATAATCTTACAATCACTAACCAAAATCCCGTTGTGAACCTCCAGCATCTCACAGTGGTGTTGTGTTGGCCCTGTGTTGTGTCAGCCATTCTGACTGTCAGAGTGACAAATCTGAATGAGATGACAGTGAAGGTCACGGCAGGATTATAAAATGCAGCACAGGATGAGAAAATAAAGGACAGCTGTGTCTTTAGGGTGGAAGAAGCATCAGTACATATAGGTAGCTTGATGATGGGCTTTAAGTTGTTTGGGACAAACTTACAGCATCTTACCTGTTCTTCCTAGTTGCTGCTGTTTGGTAACATATCCACTACTTGATAAAATGGGAAAAAATTAACAGTTTTATTAGCCTTACTTACTGCTATTTCTGTTTGCTTAATGGAAGCTTGGTAGCCATCCTATCAAGAGTTTTAATTCTTCTAGTATTATAATAAATTGAGAAGTTTACTATAGGAGAGGTGCAGGACAATTATGTACTGAGAAATGAAGGTTAGATTCCTTTGTTGAGGAGTGATAATCATGTATAACAGTACCTGAAACATTTGACAGTTCCCATAAGCTCACTAATTTCTTGTGATAGGCCTTTAAATACCAAAAAAATTCCCAAAAGTTTGGGCAGCAATAATGGAGAATGACTGCTTCTGCCATGTAGTGAATAGACTGTCCATGTTCTTTTGCTGAGAAATGCAAACACTAGAGCTGTCCCAATTTTTAATAATTCCTGTCTTAGATACTTAACTGTTTAGGGCACAAACACTGTAGAGAGAATGTGTTGAAGAATTGTCAGTTCCTGAGATAAAGTATCATTTAAATAGTGCCATTATAGGAATATTATAATCTCACTGAGAATCTGAGAAATCACTAAATATTAGACTTTATGTTCAGTATTATTTGTGGACTGAATTGATGTTGTAAGTATCTTTACCATATTCTGCTGAAGTGAAACACCACCTTCATATATGCATGTATTAAACCTTGCATATACTATTAATACCACAGCATATTACACATGCCATACAAAACTGAGTTAAATTTCTTGTGGTTTTATTAAACTCTTTTTGTTTAAGCTTAGGAAAATGCAGTTTTGTAAAATTGTTTTCCTTTTGTTCTTTGCCATCAAGTTGTATAATTGTATGGTTTCCTCAGTGATATTATGTACAATACTGTGATGTTTGGCTCCTGCAATGAAGAGGAAAGATAAATTTCAAACAATGGAATGAAATTAAGATGTGTGATTACATTGATAGGTGGTGAAGCTTTTAATCAGTTGAGTTAGTGTGTACATTGTATATACTTACATTCTTAAGTATAAAATATTTTCTGTTGCTTTGCAATGACTGCTGCAGTGCTCTCAAATGTATATTTATGTGAACGTGTAAAATTCAGTTTCTTAAAGAACTGTTAAAGCACACAGGAAAAAGAAAGGTGAGATTCATTAATTTCACTGGCAAGAATTATGTATATCATTGTTAATTTCAGTTGATAAACTTATCCTTCTATCAAGAAACAGAAATTTAAGAGAAATACCAAATCACATTTCTCTTCTAGTAACAGCAGGAAAAAAACCAAAACATGCTTTGCAGAGAGCAATGAAGCCTAAAGAAAAGGCTGCTATGGGAAGAAAGGACAATAAGTGGTGTATAGAAGAAATAATCATATGTTCACTCCATGCCACATACTTTTATCTCATGAGAAAGGGAAAGGCAAGGTTGCTTTCTGTTTGTATTAACTCACATCAATAAGTTTACACTGTTGGTTGCTGTGATGCATGCAAAATATCTGATTAATTGTATGGTGCTAACTGCCTCAGTAGGCTTCTCTGCAATAGGACTAAGATTAATTAATATTATGTCAGGATTAGATGAGGTGAGGTTACATACAAAAAGCTATTAAGAATTTGGGTAGCACTTGCCAGGAAAGTCACCTTTTGTATCTCATGCTGAGGATTATGTTTCATCCAAACCTTCAGGTTTACTTTCAGTCTTTAGCTCTGTTTCTTCTCTTGGTTTACTTTTAATCAGATGTTATCCCACTAAATTCAGTGAACTGAAGGAACACAGGTGTGAATGTGTGCAAAGGTAAACTTGTGGGTTTCATAATCATCTCATTGTTGCTTGAAAGTGTGAAATATTTAATTATAAAAATGGTATAGTGAAATACAATAGTGAAGCTTTTGTTTATTTAAATTTTCATAATGTTAAGTAATATTTTGGTTTAATTTTGCCAGAGAAACAGTCTTGTACAGATTGTTTGCTTTCCATCTGTCAATATAACACAGGCATTTTTTCCTAAGTTCTTTTGATTTGTCTTACCTACTGTGCACAAAGACACTGATTTCTGTCAGGCAGACCATTTAAACAAAATCACACCAAGTAATTTCTGTGATTTGCATCAAGTCTTCATCTTCTTCAGGTCATAGGAGTCATCACAAGACAGAAGAGTGCCCAGCTGTGTTTGTGTAATGCATTCATACTCATTGGCAGTTCAGTCTAGACAGAGGTATAGAGACATCACAGTTTTTTCATGGCATTGTAACCAAACTCCTCACTAAATCTGGAGCTGTCATTTGGTCTTGATTTAGTCTATGAGGAGGTATTTAGCAAGACCTAAAGTCAAGGTAAAAAAGCCTTAATAAATATGGTTATTGTTGGGTATTTTTTTCTTTTTCACTGGCTAGCAGTGAAAGGCTGATGAAGGCTGAGGCAGGGAAGTGTTAATCTAATGCTCCAGGTTTTTTAGCTAAGGAGAGTTAAAAATATCTGGTTTAAAAGCAATTACATCTTTAATCCTTACTGCTACCAAAAGACAAACATTTGACCTGAATGTAATAGATAGATAAGGATGCAGAAGGCCTCAAAATATGGGTTCAGAAAATATGACCAGTTCTATTTCTTCTAAATATAAAACCTCCTGGTACTCTGTTGCATAAAGAAATGCCAGGTGAAAAGAGTGGGGAGGAAAAAAAAAGTGCAACAGGAAGCTTTTCGATGATCATGTATAAGGCATCAAATTGCCTTAAAATAGTTTCAGTACAAGGCAGTGAAGTCTGATTCCCTGCTTCTGCTGAAGACAAAGTACAACTCTGTTGAGTTCTGCTTTTACAAAATGAGGTTACTTATCTATTGCTATCAAAGGACAAGACACTTCTGTACTGCTTCCCTGGAGAATGAGAGACTGGAGCTGATAAAAGAAGTGGTATGTAGAACCAGGCTCATTATAGCTTCCACAAAATTAAATTGATAAATTTTTATTTTTTTTTAATTAAGTAAGAGTTGCACTGAAAGTTACTTATATGTAGAATGTAACTTTTTTTTTTTTTTTT